TGCTAGGTTGGCAGGAGCTGGAACTAGAGACGGGAGCTCACTCCGTCATGCGGCACACTCGGGTCTCGAACGGCTGAACTACCGACCTCCCACAGCCTGCAGTTCAGCATCTTAACCACTTGAGCCACAGATAGCGGCTGGTCAAGGCCAACCAACCAATTCATTTGTGTCTGGAGCAGACATTTCAGCTTGTGATCACGTCCCAATACTCTGGCTACTGAATCACCATCACCTAACGGAATACTATGACTGCTGAATGGGACCGGGACCACAATTTTGAGAAGTTTAAAAGGACTTTCTGATCAGGGCTGACAGGGCAGTTTTGCAACAGCGGAGGCCTAAGGGACAGGGCAGCAGAATCCATCAGCACCCGCCCTCTTGCGCTAGGTACCGATTTATTTGTGTCTTGCCTTTCTCCCCAAAGGGGAACCAAGGTGGCCCACATTGCTGTCCTCTCCTCTGCTTTATCCTCACAACGACCTTGTGAAGTAGGTTAGGCTGAGAGTGTGGGACTGGCCCGAGGTCACCCAGCCAGCTTCCATGAAAGAGTGGGGATATCTGGCACGTCAACCACTGCACCATGCGCCCGTCTCCCTTGCGTTGTGGTGGATTCTTAGTCATTGGAGGCTTTTAAGTATCAATTAGAAACTGACTTGTCAGGGATATTATAGTTGTAGTTGCTGCGTTGGCAGGGGGGGTTGGACTAGATGACCCTGGTGGTCCCTTCCAACTCTGAGACTAAATACATAAAAATAAAGAAACCGGCCCTTCCCAGGCGTCTCAGTGAGAAAGGTGGACTATAAACGACATAAATTAATATGGGAGCAGCAATGGTGGCAACAGAGAAGCGACCGCTGCCTTAGCTCTGCACTTAGCAGTATTACAACAGGGGCAGCAGACAGGCTACTCTAAAACCTGAAGCCAGTCTTGTTCCTTATTCACTGGGCTAGCAGCTTTAATTGCTCATTAAAAAATAACCAAGCGTTCTCTTGCTCAGCATAATTTGGCACAAGAGAGCACAAGGGCTTGGATCCACCAGACGATTTCTGCACACACTAGGATCCTTGCACAAGTGGAAGTGTGGAAAAAACCCTTGCAATAAATTAAACAGAGTATTCCGAGGCATTTTGTTTTCATTTGTGCAAGGAGGAGGAGGAGATTGGATTTATAGCCCGCCCTTCACTTCAAGAAGTTGTGCAAGCCATGTCTGGGCACTTTAAGAGACTGGAAGGAAAACTCTAAGCGTTGCAGATTTTGTGCAGAACAGACCCGTGCTACATCTGCTTCTGTCGCTTATTGGCGGATGCGGGCCTAGTGCATTAGCGGATGTTAGGAGTCATGTTGGCTGGGATGGGCACCTGCACCAGCAGAGAAGGGGCACGGAGACAGTTGGCAGCCATAGCTAAGTGGTGGATGGTTTCCACAAGAGGCAAAGCTTCAGACCAGCTTTGTGTATGGTTTGTTTCAACTCGGGTTGCCTCCCCATCGTTTTATCAAGCTCCCAGACCAACAATTATGGTGGAGGGGGGGGAGAGTAAGGTCTCACTCTTCCGTGAATGTACTTGCAGCAAAAATATAGCCTTCAAAGACTGTAAGTTGTCCAGCTCATCATCAGGTATGCAACGAATGCAAGAAGCTGTGATTATTCTAGCAGATGCGATAAGGCCAGGGCTTTCTGGTGCCTGACACTTTGCAAGACTCTGTGGGAAACAAATCCACAGGCATTGTTGATAACGGATAACACTGTCAACACATAACGCTGTGACTTACCCCTGCCGTCATTGCCTTGGCACATCCTGTGAAGTCTTCCAAGTGTCTGGTTAGTGCAGACGCTTTAAAAAAATAACCTTTTGCAAGACCGAGGTAGGATTTTGAAGAGCCTGGCTGAGTTCCTGGACTTGGAAGACAACATGCTGAAGGAAGCCAAACAGAACAAGCTCAGAACCTGGCAATCACAGTGATTCCATACACCCATCACACACTTTGGGCTCTACGTCTGTGCTCTCAGGTAGTTCACAAAGCTACAAGCCATAATTGCTCTCCTGACTTAGCTCTCTCTCATTTCTCACCTGAACTATCTTGCTTGGCCGTGTTACGGCAACAGTCATACAACCAGTTTCTGCACGGCCACCATCACATCAAGAGTGGTTTCCAAGCATGAGACTTAATGCCTTCCGCAGATGCCCAAGTCTGTGAGAGCAACAGAGCTCTGGCAAACGTGGTTGTTACAGCACACTGTTTGTTGTTGTTGCTGTCAGGTCACAGCTGACTTATGGCAAACCCTGGTGGGGTTTTCAAGGCAAGAAAGACTTCTAGAGGCGGTTTGCCATGGCCTGCCTCTGCGTAGTGACCCTGGACTTCCTTGGTGGTCTCCCATCCAAATACTAACCAGGGCTGACCCTGCTTAGCTTCCAGGATCTGGCAAGATCAGGCTACCCAGGTCAGGGCAGAAAAAGAAGAGGAAGAAGAAGAGGAGGAGGAGGAGGAGATTGGATTTATACCCCGCCCTTCACAACCCAAAGGTGTCTCAGAGTGGCTTACAAACTCCTTTCCCTTCCCCTCCACACAACAGACACCCTGTGAGGTAGGTGGGGCTGAGAGAGCTCTTTCCAGAAACTGCTCTTTTTCAAGAACAGCTCTTATCAGAACTACGGCTTGCCCAAGGTCATCCAACAAACTGGTGTAAGCAAAGGAATAATCTAGATATTTCCAGAAGGCTCAGTAACTAATCTTCACTGACGGTATTCTGTGCTACAGTACTCAAATACCGCCGTTCTCGGTTTATATTTTGTGAGCTTCTTTAAACTGCTATCAAAAATGAGCTTGAGAGCCCTGGCAACGGTGTGAGCGGTTACAGACTACAGCAGAGTCCATATCAGACATACAAGCACTTTGTTTAAGTTTGTTCAGGCTTCCAGAGGAAAATGCAGAGATGACAGAGAATCTCAGCCCTATAATATACTCCCAAGTTTTACGGTATACCATATCATGGGACCGCGGTGGCTCAGGGATTAAGACGTTGAGCTGCAGACCGGAAGGTCTGTAGTTCGGCAGTTCGAGACCCAAGTGCCGCATGACGGGGTGAGCTCCCGTCTCATAGCCCCAGCTCCTGCCAACCTAGCAGTTCGAAAGCAAGAAATTGCAAGTAGATAAATAGGTACCACTTCGGTGGGAAGGTAACAGTGTTCCATGCGCCTCAGCATCTAGTCATGCCGGCCAAATGACCACGGAGAAGTCTTTGGACAGCAATGGCTCTTCAGCTTGGAAACAGAGATGAGCACCACCCCCTAGAGTCGGATTTGACTGGCTTTCGAGGAAGGGAAACCTTTACCTTTTACTTTTATATTGAATTATGGAAGAGCATGGCTGGAAAAAAAAACACCAAGCTATTTATATATTGACTAAAACTTTTGTACCTTGTTTTCCTTCTTGGCGCAAGGCGGTTATAGAGGGACTGCGCCCAAACTTGCTTGCTCCCTCAGGGCTGCAGTCACTTTAACAAAGACACACACTTCGTGATTTTTAGATCCTCGTGTTTCTAGTATCAGTGAAAGCAGAAGAAAACCCCTCCAACTCAGGGCATAGCATCATTTCAGATTAAACCACAGCCAACTAATCACAGGGAGCAAGGCAAACCACAGATCACCAAGGAACAAGCTTCCATCCGCCATTTCCACCACCAACCTAGACTTTTAGATGGGGTTTCGATACTCAAAGGCTTTCTCAATACCGAGAGAATCAACTCTCAAGTGTATTCATTGGTGTCTGGCTTGCCCTGTACAGGACTGTGCTTTTGAGAGTGAAACAAAATACAAATGACATGCTTGCTATGTTTCAGGCACTTTCAAGATCAGAAGTTTATTTACTGTAGATAAAAAGCTAGTATACAGATTGGGGATCCCTTTACATTTCAACTACAGTTATACACCGTCTAGAACTCTTTTTTTTTTTGCTTTCAAAATTAACCAGAACGTTTCTAGATACCTGCCCCACTATTAGTGTGTTGTTATTTGAAAGAAAAAGGGGGGGAAGGGGGGTAATCAGTTTTTAATTTGTTTCAATGCATAATATTTACATTGTGACTTGGAGCTAGAACAAGCAATGGCAAAAGAGGTAATAAACTTTAAAAAGCCAGTTTATATATATACTTTTTTACAATAATGTGCTAATCAGCATAATTGTATATAAAAATTAAAACATAGTAGAGCTTCCCACTACAGAAATCTTAATTGGTTGAACTGTAGTCATCACCTGCTAACAATTTACATGCAACATCTGCTAAGATTGACAACTGATTTGTTTTTTGAAGTGTTAAGTAGATTAATGACATGAGACACAACTGTTAACTTTGTGTTCAAACAGAAAAAGAAAACTGGAAATTGCACTCAAGAATTGTACTGGTCACAAGCCTCTTCCCTCTCCCCCCCCCCCCAATCCCCCTAATAGAAACAATGATAAAGTGGTCTCATCATACAATGAACGCTAGGAAGGCAATGAATCGGCAGACTGTACCTGGCTGGTACAAACCCCAGACACGCTATAAACATAGGACAAACACACAAATTCACACACACTCCTTATAAGAGGCCCATCTTTCCACCAAGAGGCAATAGCGGAAAGGAAGTAACGGATCGCCAGGTGTACAAATTTGGAAATTTACTAGTTATCAAAATGTGTGCGCTTGTGTGTTAACGTACAATTCTCACTATATACAGACTACACTGGAATGTATTCCCATCCCAAAAAACTTCTCTTTGTGAAACAACAGGACCCTTTCTGTACTAGCCGTAGGATTTAGAGCTTAACTTTTTTTTTAAGTAAACAAATCAACACAGAGTTACATGAACAGGGGGGAAAAACAAACGGGATGGCTTAACTATTGAGCCAGTATGAGAAGACTCCCAATTTTAGAACTGATTTTGAGCACTTCAA